TTGGGCCCCCAGTTCACACCAGCAGGTCCATGACGAGATGCTCTGTCACTTTTTTACATAGGAGGAAACCGAAGCGGAGAGAGGTTACAAATTGTCTCAAGTTGTCGCATAAGCAAGGGAAGGGTGTTCTCGCTTGTACAGGCTGGCTCCCGCGCTCTGCTCTTTTATACTGGGTTCTTTTCTGTATTACCTATGCATTTATTTTTTCCTTTATTGTAATTTAAGAAAGATTCTAGGATGGGCTCTGTAAGGTGGTCTAGACTTTTAGACAATCCAAGTCTGCTAGGATCCTGTGCTTCCTAGACCAAGGGTTTCCTGTGGCAGCCGAGCCGCAGTGATTGTCGTGCCCGACGTGATTTTCACAGCCACCACGGTGCTCCAACTCCCCCATCCTGGGCAGAAAGAGGAAACAAAGGACCAACTTCAGCATGTTGTCCCGTGACCGGTCTTTGCTTTCCTCCAGAACATCTCAGCAGGGTTCCTTTTAATGACCTGGACACTGCTATGTGTGGGTTTCATCTTGGGAATTTTCTATATATTTTTTTTACGTAAATCGTTTACAATGGCTCTTTTGTAAATGAGAGTCACAGTAAACTGGCTATGATTATAGATTCTGACAGTTGAAATCATAGGTTCAAATCTCAACTCAGTCACGTATGCTGTGACTTTGGGTAAATTATGAAACCTCTCTGGACCTCCGTCACGTGACAAGAGGGCGAGGATGTCCTTACACGTAGGGCTGTTGTGAGGATTAAATGGGGCAGCAGTTGATGGATACTTCTGTATTTAGTCTCTCATTTGTGGTTACTTTTACATCCTTTAGGAAATTCCTTTCTACCATATCTGGAGTGGGTCTCAAAGAAACCTCCACTGCACCTTCACGCTGGAGAGATTCAGCCTGAGTACGGTGGAGCTGGTTTGCAAACTGTGTGTGCGGCAGGTGGAGGGAGAAGGGCAGATCTTCCAGCTAAACTGCACAGTGTCGGAGGTAAGCCACGCGCGGCCTGAAGTCGGGACGGAGTGACGGGGGTCGGGTAGGAGGGCATCTCAACACAGGCCGGGTGGAAATCCTCAAAAGCTCTCTGTGGGTCCTGTCTGCTCACTGAAAAGCTGGTTTTCACGAACATGGGGCTAAAAAATGTAAAGGAGTAGAGGGCATCCTTCCTGAAGATAAGTCTTACTGTTATGACATGAGTTTAAGAAGTATATGGTTTAATCTGAGCAGCGTGCACACGCCGAGCTTTCCCAAAGGTCCCTCCTCCCTTTCCGCTCCTTAGAGCCGCCTACCTTCACCCTACACCTGTGGGTGGGGGAGCACATGAGGGGGGCTTCTGCTCCCTATTTTCCTTCTCCCCCTTTTCCTGCATGTTGAAAGGAGAGCTCTCTTGCTCTCCTTTCTCTGTCGTACACCACTCCCCACTTGTCAGGAGGGAAGACCTGTTCTCCAGCGTGAGAGCGATGCCAGAAACAGGGGCTAAGTCCACATATTTGTTTCCCTGGTGGCCATCAAGTCTGTGATCTTCACACGCTTCAGTTGGACTTTTTAAAAGTTTTATCTTTATTGAAAGAGACAGAGGGAGGAAAGGGCCCTTTTGACAGGGTCCGCCATGCTGCAGTTCTCTCCCGAGCCCCCATCACGAGTGCATACCCAGCATGTTAAGGTGGACCTGGGTTCAAAGCCGGGCCTCCCGTACCTCACCGCAGCTCCCACTGTCTGCGCCACTGCCGCCGGCCTGGGTGGACATTTGAATATGCCGTATATGGAAACCACAAACTGCTCTGTCACACTGCTCTGTAGCCAGAGGCGGTGTCCATGACCTTCCTGTTACCTCGGAAGCAAAGGCCGCGTTTGCAAACTGGTAGCCCTGCAGCTGGGGGACCAAGCAGGACAGCCTCAGCCACACAGTGAGGTGGCAGCCATACCTGGAGCCTCGTAGCCACACTGAGGGCTGCTGGCCGAGCCCCTCAACACAGGCTTACTGTCTTTAAAACTCTAGCGCGGCATGTCCTGCAGTGACGAACGACATGTCAGCGTGTGGGCTGGCCTTGCTCCGGGCGTCAGAGATCATCCCGAGCAAATGAGGAGAGCAAGCGTGTCAGCCTCGGTGACACGGCATCCTTCTTTCCCACAGCCCGCCGAGGTGTGGTCAGCGTTTCCTCCTGTAGTTTCATGCGACTTTTGACTCATAAACAACTTTAGTCACAGACCCCAGTGACATTCATCAGGAATGATCCCGGTGTCAGGGTGCCATGGTAACCGCCTGGCTTCAGAGGGCAGCCCTATCTCCCAGGCACACAGCACCACCCCTGCTGGCCCCGAGGGTGTTTCCACTTTCCAGGCCCAGCAGGTCTGCAAAGTTCAATAACCACCCAGCTCCAGCGACAACAAAGGCTGCGGGATGTGGGAGGGGGGCGAGGAGGTCTGGGCCTTTGATGCTTGCTTTCTGTTCCGCGGGAACATTCGCTCTGTGCTGAAAAGGTGGATCAGACGCAGCCCCACATGAAAGACGCTGCTCAGCTCTCCCTAGGGCCTTGGCTCCTCCTGGAGAAGCTGCTGGCCGGGAAAGGGCAGTCTGGGGTCTGATCACATGTTCGGACTCCTTCCTCCTGTACCAACACACAGCAAAGGTGATTTCTTCAGCAACGTGGGCCTGTCGGCTCAGACGCCAGCCCACGGCAAGGCAGAGGCGTCTGCCCCAGGGGCCAGACATGCTCATTTAACCCCAGGAGAAGTGCGAGGATCGAGGATTGAGGAGCTGCCCCAGGGGCCAGACATGCTCATTTAACCCTAGGAGGAGAAGTGCGAGGATCGAGGAGTGCTGACTTTGGGGATTAAGGGGCACTCTGCAGCTTTTACTTCTGGGTCACTGAGTCCCCCACTGTGGTTAGCATTTGAATGGGATGCAGGGTGTGCACAGGAGGGAGGCGGGGCCTGGTCCAGGGCTGCAGAGCAAGGCCTCTGTGAAGAACAATGGACCCTGGAGAGCCCTGAGATCTGATCCTCATCAGAAACTCCCAGAAGGGGTACTGCCCTGACAACCCATAAACAGACGTTTCTCTTACCTGAACAGGGGTCCTTCCTGGGGTTCCAGGCCAAGCTGGGCCGCAGTTCCAGTCCCAGTGACCTGGCTCCCTAGGATGAGCTGCCCTACCCCCAGCCATCGGTCACTTATGAAGCCACACGACCCGGGCCTAGGTAGCCGGGCAGAGACCTGTTGCCCGCCAGGGAGATCAGGCCGTGATGCCATACGCTGTGATTACTTCCCGAGTGGCCACTGTTCTTGTCTGGGGGTTTTGGCCAGAGATTCTTTAGAACCAAAGCCTTCATTGTCAGAGATGACGTTTACAAATGAAAATTTCTGGGTCAATCCACAGTGCAGTTCAGGCAGGTGGGCCCAAGTGACTGACTGGCCATTGGAGTCCCTGAACCCCCTGGTTTGAGAAACACACCAGTGCGTGTGCATGCCCCAGATCCCCAAAGGAGGGAGAAATGGAGGGGAGGGGTTTGCGGCGTGACCATCCTCCACGGGGTGCTTTCTGAATACCCACTCTCCCCACACACACCCTGCCTGTGCCTTCTGGGCTTTTTTTTTTTTTTTTTTTTAAGAAAGTCTATGAAAGACAAAGTGTGGGCAGAAATGCAAGTGAAAATGTAAATGATGATAGAAGATGTTTTATTGCTTTTGGACGGGTGCAGAGGGTGTAGCCATTGTGGCTAAAAATAAATAAATAAATAATGGTGTGGAAGAGAGAAACTCATAGTCCTTCAACCTTCTATGTTAACAGTAAACAACCGCCATCGTAGGATGGGCCCCAGTCTCCATGGGGAGATGGACAGTTACTTACCCCTTGTCACCTTGGGTTCCTCACAGGTGTATTGGTAGGAGAGCAAATTATACCTCGGGATGGTTGTGAGAATTAAGTGACTGTCCCTACCTGTTCTGAACAGCACTGGGTCCGCAGCCCATGCTTCGTGTGTGTCACCTGGGGGTGGCTGCCACCAAAGCCACAGAACGGAGTTCTCCAGTGAGTTCTGCCCCATCAGGGCTTGGACTCTTTTGTCAACTTGACCTTCAGACTTCCTGCCATCAAAACAAAAGAATAAAACTGAGCTTCTATATAAATAAGTAAATGAATGGAAAGTAAATACAAATTAGCTCCCCGAGGAAAGGAAAGGGTATACAACCTTGAGCTGGCTTTTCATGATTTTTCCTCTCGGTTCTGAATCTGGAAAGGGAGCAGCTTTAAAGAGCAGTCATCGTCCTGTACTTTTAACATAGACTTCCGGACAATAAAAATGAAAATTTCTTAATTAGCTAGGTCTCACAACCTCCACTCTTTACACCTGGCACTTTTGTTACACCAGAAGTGATATTAAAAATAACCACATCACTCTGCTCACCATCCCAGCTATAGACCTCTTCTGTGTTCTCCAGCCCACTCAAGATGGCCATTTCTGACGACCCCCGACAGTTTTCCCAAAAGTCAGAATATGGGGGTGGGAAGCTGTTCCTGGTTAACGTTGGGAAATTATATATTTAAGGGAATCCTAACACTCAAGACGGATGGTGCAATACCATTATTGCTTCCCGTGATAAGCATGTTGTGAGCGGAAGCTCTTTTACCTGCAAGTAGTGGCCACTAAAATCACGAGCTGAAATGTAAGTGCATGTATGTGCATGTATGTGTCCTTCACCGCCAAGGCTGTTTTGAGCCATCTGATCAGAGGCAAGAAGCGATGCCTTATGGAGCTCATTTCATCAAGACAGAGCAAACAGACTCCTTGGGCAGAGCTAGGGGGCTCAGGGCCTTACTGCCCCCGTGACGTGGTGATGGTTCCTTAGTCACCATGAAAAGGGGCCAGCATGAGCTTGTGATTGGCCTTCCTGAGGTCCAGGCCTACCTGTGACTGGCCTTTCACTTTAGGATTCAGTAGCAAGTGTCCCTGTTTTACATGAGTAGTTTAATAGTTTGAAGCGTTATGTTCAGATCTCTGATCCATTTTGAGTTCATTTTCATTAATGGTGAGAGAGAAAGCAATCTAGTCTCATCTTTATGCAGATGGATAGCCAATTCTTCCAGGACCGTTTGCTGAAGAGACTTTCTTTTCCTCACTAGATTGTCTTGTGTCCTTTGTCAAAGATCAGTTGACTGCAAATTTGGGGCGTTTATTTCTGGGTTTTCTATTCCACTCCACTGGTCCACGTGCCTGTGTTTCTGTCAGTATCATGCTGTTTTAATTACCACTGCTTTGTAAGGTACTTTGAGGTCAGGCAGTGAGATGCCTACTTCATTCTTTTTTGCATAGTATTGCCTTGGCAATACAGGGCCTTTTATGATTCCAAATTTTATATTTTTTTCTGTTTCTATAAGGAATGTCTCATAATTTGATCAGAATTGCACTGAATTTGTAAATTATTTTGGGTAGAACTGACATTTTGATTATGTTAATTCTTCCAATCTAGGAAGATGGGATGTCTTTCATAGTTTTCCTCGTATAGCTCTTTTACATTGTTGGTTAGGTAGTGAGAGGAAAAACATGGCCACACTTAGTTGGAAGGACATCCAACTCATCACCTTCAGACATGGACTTCTATTAGAAACTGGCTTCTCCTCTTTCTGTATTAGGAAAAATATGCTAATTGAATAGCTCCAATGTGCTTGGATCACAGGGGTTCAGAGGATGTCAGACAGGCTCAGCTCCAAGTAACTTGAGCAACCGCGGGAAGTTGCACAGCACCACACCAGCAGCACAGGGCAGGCCGCGGGGCATGCAGCAGAGTGGGGAGCTCTCTAGGTACCTCCAGGCCTGACGCCTTTGGGTGGGTTTGCTCAGTGGAGCCTCTGAGCATATGCCTGTGAACCAGAGTTTGAGAGGTTTGCCAGACAGGCATTATGGGAAAGGGCACCAAGCATAGGAGTGGTCCACTGTGAGGACAGTAGGTGTCATGTCGAGTCATGTCAAAGACAGGGCAACCTGGAACAGGTTGGGGTCTGTTAAGTGGTGTGAGCATGTGCTTAGAGCTCTTCTTCCACATCATGCCTGGCCCTGTGCTACACATGCAAATTGTGGCCTTGCGCCAGCCAGCGAAGCAGGTGCACTGCACAGGTGTCACCAGCCAGCGAAGCAGGTGCACTGCATAGGTGTCACCAGCCAGCGAAGCAGGTACTCCTCACTGCCTGAAGGCTGGGAGCTCACAGCAGGGAAGAGCAAGAGTTGCGGGCAGGGAGAAATACTAGCATATGCCACATCACCCATAGGGCATTTCAGGAAGACCAGGCTGGCAGAGGCATAATTTTTGTCACAGGTAAGCAGTAGGGAGATGCCATGGTTGTGGATGTGAACCAGTGCTACCAAAGCAGACTCCGCCCTATGCAGACCTTATGTGCTACTCAGGGACAATCAGGGTGGCATTTTAGAGGGAATATACCAAGTTTCCTTCTAGGCCCTCTTGTCCACATAGCATGTGATTTCTCTTCGCTTCCACCTGCTAACCCGTCCACATGTCGTTCTGGGCCTGATAGACGCACTAGAACATTTGGGTTCAGACACCCTAGACGTAAACCCACTGACGACGTGACAGCTCACTTTGCTGGTCACCTTTCTTTCAACCCTGTGCCCTCGAAGTCACGAACACCCTCTCCTCGATTCTGCTCGGAGGAGCTCTGTGCTGTGGGCTAAAGGACCATGGTCGTGACCCTCCTCACGGGCTCCAACTCCCACGTGCTGGTCCCGTGTTTCACATCACTGTCTTCGATCCTGGTATGTGTGCCAAGGGAGCCGATGGAATCCTCGGAGAGGTTTTGAGGCCAGATACTGCAGCCAGCTTCACCATGTACATTGCAGCAGAGAAACTGGTTTCTTCTCAAATGCCCTCCGAGCCCCCAATGGGCCATGTGCATACGCCTGCACAGCCCAGAAGTGAGTGTGATACTGGCCCCGAAAAGTGGCCCACGCTGCTGGTCAGCACTGGGGCAGATGGCCACGCTGCAGAGGCCACCACAGTCGATGAGCGCAGGGGCTGGGCTCTGGATTAAGGTGGCACAGATCTTGAACTGAGCAAGACACCAGAGCCCTAATGACGCCTGAAACTGTGTGGCCAGTTTATCCTCCAGCAATGAATTACGCACACCAAGGAGTTACCTGCTTAAAAAGAGAGAGAGTGAGAGAAAGAGAGGTGACATTTAAAGTAGATTAAGTAGATTTTCTTTTATTGCTTTAATAGTTCCCAGGCAACATTTGCTTTTTGCTTCTCCAACCAGCAGAAGTGATCAGAAAATGATTAGAGTTTCTCCTGCTGATGAAATTCAGCATTTGCATTTGTGCTGTTTTATGAGCTGAAACTATTTTAAGAGCCAATTTATGGCTTTTCTCTCCTAAAACTAATTTTTAAAAATAAGGATGTACAGCAATTTTAGGGTGCCGGTAGCATTTTGCCCTAAGGCAATATACTGTGTGTACTATATCCTTTAGGGGGCAAAAAGGTTTAAATTGATATCCTTTAGAGAAGAGCTGTGTTCCCTTTCATTCAACAAATGCATACCTGAGCCCATTCTGGAAGGGTTAGATGGACAATTTACTGGGACATTTGCCCCAGGTCTGCCCCTCGGAGTGAAATGGTTTCCAGACGGTTTCCAGAGGTCTCTCAGCCTCCCTCTGTCAGATCTGTTCATTCTCAAGGAAGTGCCCCTTTGAATATCACCCTCCTGAAATCTAACCTTCCAGCAGCACCGAGAGTCCCTCTCTCACCCTGGAGGGTCCTGTTAGAAAGGCTGTTACCTCCGAATCACACCAGAGGGGCGTTCCATCTAGCCCGACATAATGGAAGACGCATACATCCAAGACTTTGCCAAGTTAGCTGGGAATGTCCCCCTTCCTCTCAGCCACGTTCCATTTAGCGACTCACAGCTTTCAGGTCAGGGAGCCACCATTCTTATCAAGGAGAATAATAGCACTCATTCTCTTCTCAGGGCTCAATGCAAGGCATTATGGTGACTGGTTTAACAGGGGTGGCTTTTGTCTTCAGAAATAATGCCGTGTGTTCCTCTCCCTGAACTGCAGGAGCCCACTGGCATCGATCTGCCGCTGCTGGACCCCGCGAGCACCATCACCACCGTCACGGGGCCAAGCGCCTTCAGCATCCCTCTCCCTATCCGCCAGAAGCTCTGTAGCAGCCTGGATGCCCCTCAGACAAGAGGCCATGACTGGAGGATGCTGGCCCACAAGCTCAGCCTGGACCGGTAGGTGTGGCCAGGCTACAGGACCAGGTTCTCGGCCATGTGCACAGGTCTCCATGACTGAGGGCCGTTAGGCCAAGGGCAGCATTCATTTCTTATTTCCACCCATGCATCTGCTTACTTTTCCATCCTGCAAACTTGTATGCAGAGCTCCCCAACACCTTGGCCAAGAGCGTGCAATCACAGTCTCTGGGTTGATTTGACATTTGGAGGTCTCAAGTTTTGTGTTCTACTTTGCAAAGGTGCTGGGCTAAATCCCCCTAAATAACATATCGAATCATATTTTTCCCCAAGTCCAGCTAAGCAGGACCTAACATACGGTGGATAATGAACACATTACCTCGGTGTTGATATTAAGTGGTAGAGAGACCTAGGAGGCTCTGCTCTGCAGAAGGTTGCCATCACTACCAGCCAATGATGTGGCGTGACCTGTCAAAGACCATCAGAGCCTGGACTGGAAAGAAAACATAAGTCTCTTGATTTCCTGTTTAGGAGATGACCCACAGACATCTTGTCTCTTAAATTATCTTACTCAGAGTTGAGGTTAACAAAGTTAAACATCACATCTCCTGTCTGGGGCTGATCTAATTAAGTACGGGCTAGTATATTTAGGATGGCTCACTGCAAACCAATTTGGGAATGGGGATAAAGACAAATGGAGAGATAGAAAGATTTAGCCAAATAAAACAGAAGAGAAAATACATCCATAAAACGTGCCATTCAGCACATTTCCCGTTCCCCATTACAGGTACTTGAATTACTTTGCCACCAAATCAAGCCCAACTGGCGTAATCCTGGATCTCTGGGAAGCACAGAACTTCCCGGATGGAAACCTGAGCATGCTGGCAGCTGTCTTGGAAGAAATGGGAAGACACGAAACGGTAGTGTCTCTAGCCGCAGAAGGGCAGTACTGACTGCGCTGGAACTGAAAGCGAAGGGCCATGACGCACAGGGAGTCCGCGGCTGTCCGGGGAGGAAATCCAGACCAGACCCATGAGCCTCACAGGCAACGCTGCAGCAGGACAGAGGAGGAAAACAGACAACCACCAGCATACACGCCCGCTGCTCGGACAGCATCCCAGGAGTTAAGAAACCTGTAAATGTGTACCTTGAATTTAGAAATCAACCTAATTTTCCTCGTAGTTGGGCTGTATGCTGTGTGGTACAGGATCTTACAGTTTCCTAGGAAACGCTTTTTATTGCTATCCAGATCTATGGATAAACTTTCTTAACAAACCCAATTTCTACAAACGTTGTTTACATCAAATTGGACAGGGATGCAGATACTGTCCATGGCTCGTTCTATTTTTGTTCAAATGATTTCAAGTTGAAGCTGTGGATGGTTTGTTGTGTCTATTTCCGATTAGTAATTTACAGAGAAATCACAGACTTTTGCTACAAATCACGTACACCCAGTGTCTCAGATAATCCTCCCATGGCTGTCCTGTTCCTAGAACTCGCAGAACCAGTGTTAACTGTTGGTATCAGGGAAGTGGAGAATCTAAGTGTGAACGAGAAATGCCTAAGACTCCTTATTCCTCGGGGGGACCTGTCTGGTGCCCTTTGGGGAAAAAGGTGTCATAGCATTGCAGGGAAGATAGTGACTAATGTCCAACCACACAAGCATTTATTCACGTGTGTTTGTAATATGCGATTTGAAGTGGTTTACTTAATGGTATCATTATTACCATTATTATTGAGTATTTACAAGTATTCTAGTAAGAGCCTTTTCTTTTAACTTCTGTTTTGGTTAGTGGTACTATTAGTATTGGGTATTTACTAGGCCTGTCTCCCTTTCTCACATGACGAGGTGGGTATGGTCACCAGTTTAAGTCACTAGGCATTGCTCCCATGACCTTTCACCTTTCTCATACCATTCTACCCCAGAAAAGCAGTAAATACTTCCTTACTAGCTTTGTCTGTCTGTTCTTTCAGCTCGCTCAGGCGGGGTCTCTCTCCTCTCTTGAGAAGAGCTCCCCAATTAAGCCCATAATATGGTGGTTGTGTGGCCCCCAGGTGACTCTGTCTACCTTGGAAGCAATGTGGCTGGAATAATGGCCTCTGAACTGGCATTGAGGAAACCAGTTCTCTGGGTTTGTCACTGTCTAGCTGTGTGACCTTGGAAAACTCATTTCACTCACCTTACAGAACCTTCCCCTGCAAGATAAAGGGGTGGGTATTGGATCATCTCAAAGTTCTGAATCCCAGCTTCCGCTGTGAAGCCTCCAGTCTCCCCCGTCAGTCTGAAGACCACAGTGCACTCTGACCTGGGCCATTTACACAGTCAGCTAGTCTTGTGCCCAGGCTACGTTGTGCCTTTCAAACAGTTCTGACTTGGGCAGTGATTATTCAGACCTGCGGTGATACTGCTAGGCGCTCACGTCTTGTCTTTGCATCATTGTGTTGTGCCAATCACTGAGGATGGCACCCCTTTATTAGCTTGTCCTCTCTGGGGACCCCGCACTGCCTAGCTAGGTCTCCTGATATCTATTCTCGCAAGTTCATTAGTAGTAGGAATTTGTAGTTTTCTACCCACCCCCCCCTTAATTTCTGCCTTCCTAATATTCAGCAGCACTTACAAAGTTTCTTTAATTATCTTTTTAGAAACTTACCCTGCAAATGCAAGTCAACAGAATATTTTGTGTAAACGATGACATTTCCTTGGGCCCATCACAGGCTCTTTGTTTTAACACAGGGACTCAATTCATTCAGCAGGTGGGGAATGAAGAGTCCACAACCCCATAGCCAAACCAAGACCGAATGACAGACACCCACAGGGATGAATCAGAACCTTCAAACATGACTGTGACTTACTTCTGGGCTGGAGGTATCCAGGCTGCTGACTGGATTTGAATTGGAAGTCATTTGATACGTTTTCTCCCATCTTTCCACATATACTTCCTCTATTGTTTGACTTCTTGATAGTCTCAGAATCTTCCACCACCATGGAAGAGCTGTGGATATCTTGTTTTGGAGCCTCTTCTTTTATGCTTTTTATTTCTTATCGTCTGTTTTAGACTTAAAGTCTATAATCTCTCTCATAGCACTCTTGGGCCACTCCCTGCATTAGGATTTCCATATATAAAGATATTTGTTACAGTGATTGGGGAAGAGAGAGATTTCATTTAAAACTAATTTAATGAACAATGTCTATACCAATGAGTAAAACCACACATTCTAATTAAAAACATATTTAACAATGGAGGAGGTAAAGTTGTCAAGACTATTTACCTGTACTAGAGCTGCAGAATCATCTATGAAATCTAGAACTGGAAATCTGAACTGGAAACTCAAGGGCACTTTTATACCCAGTGACAGGTAGAAGGAGAAAACATAGTTATTCAGATGAATCAATTCCAAAACTTTTACTAAATGGCTAAAAAAAGTCACCGAGACAGAAATGTTAAACAGGATCTGTATCACTAAAGCCCTGGGGGAGGCCTTGCGGGTTCACTTCAGATGCTTAGTTTTTGGTTCTACCTCCCAGCACCAGAAAAAGGAACTGATTCCTTGTAAGTGAGGCACTCATCTGTCATAGAACACTGGTTATGATTCCTATCAAGCGAATGACATCTTCCAGACGAACAGCATCCCATTTATATCAAATAATTTTCACTACAAATTCTGATTTCCTTCTCCTTTGGAGTAGAGTAATAGCTGTGAGATTGCTCTAGAGCCAGATGCAAGTTCATCTCCGAGGGAGCCACTTCATCAGCCATTCAGTGCAATCCAGTGCTTCCACAGCTTGTGAGGAGAGCCGCCCCGACTGCGCCGGATGGGGGAAAACCACATCATTTGTGCATGGTGCCATCTAGTGGCTGGCAACACACTCTACCCTGAGTTTAATATAAAAACCCACCAAGTTATTTGACAAGAGAAATGAGTACCTATGCAGATAAACAGGAGCTTTATGGCAGAGACGTGGGGATATTTTCACTTTGAATACATCATTTCCTTATTCTTCACATCTTTTCACTTAAATCACCCATGTCATGATGAGCCTCGTCCATTTTCAACTCATCCACACAACTTAAGCATCTTAAGTTGCTTTCTTGTAATAGAAATACATACAATCTGTATAAAACAGTTTTTGAAGAATTCTTATTTTCACCATTCACTGGGCTTTCTTTAACTGAAGTCTCCTTTTATTTCTCTAATATTTATCTCCAGAAGTTGTAAGCAGTTGCTGCCCGAAAGAAATGTCATATGTATGCAAATGGGGATACTATGTCTAAGAAAGAAACAATTGTGATTATTAATCAAGGAGAAGAAAAAAGCTTCTGAATTTGGGAATTTCAAGGCAGAGTTTTGTCCTGTTTTAGTTCTCTTCACACCACATTCATCCGAATCTTCTTAAAGTGATCTAGAGAAAATAGAAGTTGGATCCAGAACTGATGACCGGGTACACAGTGATGACAAACACTCACACCGAGGTACTCTCAGCTAACAGGCTTCTCACAAACACCTTCCCAAGTGGATGGTCACCTCTGTTACTTAGACGGCTCCCACCCCCACAGGAGCGATGTAAACTCTTCAAGAGCAGAACAATTTTGGAGGTGAGGAGTCCTGTATTAAACTGCATCGTCATTAGCCATTTTCATATGTAGTAGTATTTTATCTATCTATTTAGTTTTAATCTATCACCTATCAAACAGTAGAGCCATTCTTTAGGAAAAAGTCATGGGGACCAAGTTTAGAACACTCTGGAAACGACAAATCCAGTCATGGTTTTTAAAAGGTGTTTCTCTGATAAGTAAGAGATCTTCAAAATAAACATTCAGAGGGTTGAATTAAGACGTTTCACTTCCTCTGGAAAAAGAGCAAACGAGACTCTTGTCTCGCGTCCCCGTCTGTGTATGTCTGCCGGGGACACAGCGGCTGTGCTCTCGGTCTGCCCTGCTTTTCTCTAGTCAGTGTATCAGAGGGGAGCCAGTAAGGGACCATTCCCTCCCCTGAAGTCACAGGCCGTGGCCTCTGTCAGGTCCGCCCCTGTGGGGCCAAGCAAATAGAAATCTATACAAGATCTGAGAATGTAAAGAAGACAGAGGTGACTTGTCACGTGTTCAGCCTTCACACTGAACATGAGTTTTTGCTGACCAGTTGCTCTGGATGAGTCATCAGTTTCACACAGGCTTCCGCACAAGTCTGAGGCCAGTGAGAGAAAGAAGGGCCACGGAAACACAGCTGCAGTGGAATTGGGCTGAATCCATCTTCTTTCAGAAGGGAGGAGCTATTGTGAATTGGGACATCATTGCTCAAAGCCAATCACTTGTCAAGATAATAATAGTCAATGAACATTAGGTTTTGTAGCTCTATGAAGGAAAACTATTTTTATTATTATCTCAAGATAACAAAACTTTTTTTACCTTTCGAGTGCCTCAGAGGACCAACTATTATACTTTGGTTTTGGTTTTTTGTTTTTGTATTATTTTTATATGCTTTTTAACCTGATTGAGCTAATGTTGAACTTCGCCTCTGTGCAATGAAGTACTGTTTATCTACCCTACGAGATCTATTTGTATAATCTCTGGCTGTAATGATCACTTTGAAATATTTCCCTTGCATATCTAATGATTTTTTTAATGGAATAAAGCATAAGGGGAATAAATATATTTTAACCAATCTTAATTTAAATCTATGTCCACACAGGCCACGTAAGCCAAATGAAGTCATAAATATTTCACAAATGCTGGCCTGAAAACCTATTTTTGAAAAGTGGGGTGATGGCATTATATGCCAGTGGGTGGGTTTTCTCTACAGACTGGGTCCAACAATGAACTTCTCGATCCTGTAGTCCTAGTGACCTTGTGCTTCCCCCGTTTTCAGGAATCCTACTTTAACAGCCTGTCTTTAGAAGAGTCCATGGCTCCCATGTTTTCCAGGGAACCTGTCGCTCTATATCCTTCTGTGGTGGGATATTAATGGGCTCATTCACCACGTGTATTTATGCCCCAGACCTACTTTGGCATGGTAGGAAGGCATCTCCAGGATAAGCCAACAGGTACCCCTCAAACATACCGACACATAAAGCCAACAGCTTGTAAGAGGCTGTTTTGCTGCCTGCCCGCTGTATACTTCCAACTCTGGCATATTGTACAGAAATCTCTAGAATCCCAAGCTGGGAATCCTTATAGGACATTGTGAGAGTCATGGCCTCCTAGTCACTGAGTAGAAAATGAGGAAGCTGCCCCAACAGAGCCAGCCGGCCACCAGCCATATCACATGCTATTAGTACGCTGGTCTTTGAACACACTGTTTCCGATTTAGGCTTCGGCAGATTTGCAAATTGCAGGTCATAACACTTCAGGGTTCCTTACAAGAAGCCTAAATCCTGTGCCATCCTTAAATTCCAAAGGTCTCCTGGACTAGGCACTGTCACCTGCTGCTGCACCTGACAGCACTGACCCAGTTAGAGCAGCCCTCAGCCCTGGGCTGTGTAGTGACTAGTCGGCCAGTTCGGCTGATCAGCAGCCTAAGGGTTGCCAAGCTCTCGGCCTCTGATCCTCAGCGGTGCGGTGGGGCAACCCCAGAAAATCTTGCCCCAGCTGTTCTCGATGTTCAAAGCAGCCCGTTTCAGAGTGAGAAATCTAGACCTAGCAGAGAATGCTCTTGCCTTTTCCACTCATAAAGGCCTTAATGACATCTGGAGACACAGGGGTAAAAACTCAGATGTGTGCTCCGCCAAGCCTGGGGCACAGGGCAGCAGCGAGGGCCAGACGAACGTGTGACTGTCCCCTTCGCGCTGAGACCTACGAGCAGCAGTGAGGTCCTCGCCCTTCAGACTGCATGCCTCTAGCCCGTCTGCCGGGAACCTCATCACTGTGTGTGTGCTGGGGTGGGGGTGTCCGTGTGGTGCGTGTTGAGTGTAACGTTGCGCTGTGTAGCAAGTTGGTGACCGTCCTCTTTGCTCTAAAGAAGACAAACAAGCCTGTCAGAGTCCAGTCCTCAGCGGTCTGTGAAGAACTGTCATCTGCCTGCTGTCCCCCCGGAACAGCTGGACTGCAGAAATGTCAGATTAAGCTGTTGTGCATTGTTGTTTTTCTTTTTTAAACAAAACACCACCACCTTGGCTTTTCCAGAGCAGAGTACTTCTTTTGTTGCCGTGGAGTTCCCTCTTGCTGTATCTTCTATGCAATCCCTTTTCTAAAAGCTCCCCAGTGGAGGCGGCGTGCTGTCTGGACCTTCTGCCGTCGCCCTGCTGTGTGGCGAGGTGAGGGAGCCCAGCCCCGGGTGTGCCTCTTTTCTCTCCCTGGCTGCCTCTCTCAATTTTCCCTGCAGTCCCCTTGGTTTGTAAATTGCCTGCATTTATTCTGTCGGCCAACATGTACAAAATGTAAGAAAGAATTTTTAAACAGGTAATAAATTATATTTATAAGCAAGAGAAAGTGCTGCCTCCCTCATTTCTTCCTAACAAAGTCCCCCTCTGTGTTGAGTCACCATGGGTTTCTTCAGTGGGACAAAAAGCCTTTGACTCCTGAATGGGTGGTAATTAGGACACAGTCCCTCGCAACAGGAAGAAGTGCTAGGAGGGTGCTGCTTCAGTAGCCTCCGTGCAGTCCCCAGAAACACCAAGACGAATGCCTGGGCCCCAACTCCAGAGATGCTGACCTCATGGGTCTGGCCGTAGCCTGAGCATTTCGGAAGCTCCAGCTGATACTAAGGAGCGGTTATGGGTGAGAGTTGGTGTCTCAGGACATCTACGCCAAAATTCCCCGGGGAGCAGTAAACAGTGCCAGGCCTGACCCTCAGAGGTCACATTTTAAGTGAAGTTTGTCACCAACTATCCCACCCCACCTTCAACCTCCACCCAGGGTGAGCAAGGAAGGGCTCCCACTGTGAGGTGGACAGGTGGACTGAAGGGCGGAAGCAAAGGCAGCCCTTCCTCAGAAAGTACTTAGACAAGTGTCCTGGATGGACAGTGACCCGCCCCATCCCTCCTCTCAGCCTAGATAAATGTCGGAAATGATCCCATTCTGGGGGCTGAACAATGGTGACGTAGGACAGATTCAGTGCTGGGATCCCAAACTCTGGTGTTTGCTCAGAGCTAAGGAAGTAGTCAAAATGCTGGGCAAAAATATATCACAACTTTTCCAGCAACCCAATATATAAACTGGAACCCCGGTAAAATCAGAGAAGTAAGGCTTGGAGCTGAACTAGAGAATTCAAGTTCCATCTGAGAGAATGATAATGGATAAAAGTGAAAACCATATCAACTAAATAAAGGGAACACATGGTAGCAGTGGACTGGTCCTGGACCTGCCCGTTGGCTCCTGACATGGAGCCGGGTGGCTGGGATTGCTGCTGAGAGTGCTGTCCGTAGCAGAGTGTGTGCCTTCTCAACACTGGCGTCTTGGCCTGCTACTGCGAGACTGCTGACTTATAAGGGACATGGCTTTATCAAGCTCATGACTGTAGTGGCTGGAAAGCTTCAAGTTGTAAGCTGACATTGGGCCAGCTCAGTCACACCCTGGCTGACAGAAGCAGAGGGGATCCGGGCGTGAGCAGAGAGACACAGACTCAGCCATCTTCCTTTTATAACAACCCCTCTCTCAGGAACTACCCTCTCTGGCAAGAACCAGAACTCACTCGCTCTCAAGAAATCCATTCATGAGGCAGTGCCTCCATGAGCCAATGACTGCCCATCAGGCCTACCTCTTAAAGGTCTCACCACCTCTCAATGACAATACACTGGAACCAAGTTCCAAAGCAACCTTTGGGGGACAAACCCTAGCCGTCAGTAATGGACCAGACTTAGCAGTCTTCCTTTGAGTTTAGGTCACCAGAAAGTTCTGGAAATGGCCTTGTTCTGTATCTATCCCTCTTTGCCAGTAAACGGGTGCCAGGCATGGAACCTTCATCAATACCAGGGAGCCTGACAGCTGATGAATTGTGGGAACCTAGGATAGGAATTACTTTGTTGAAACAAAAGTTCTCCCAAGAGTGTGGTCATCTGTACTTGACTGCTGTGACCAGACCCAACAATCAAGCTTGCAACTTCCAAAACGGTGAACTTCCACGAAGAACCCATTCTGCTCTACTCCCTCTCTCAAGTCCTATGAAAAATGGGGTTAAGCTCAGCACCTACAGAAAGAAGAGGGGTGTAGAGAAGGCGGCGAGGTGAACCAATGGCAACACTCAGCTTGTGTGAAATGTGACTAGATCTACGTCCTGTAAAATGAATGGCAGTGAGAAGGAGCAGTATTTACAAGTGCCAGCCATGCACCCGGCACAGGGTTGTCATTTATACACTTTGATATGTATCTCGTACATGTAATAAGTTTTTTGCTCCTCCTGAGAGCCCCATTCAGTTGTTTTTTGTTGTTGTTGTTTTTAGTTTTGTTTTTTTTTCTATAGGGTGCATATGCTCACCAGAGAGACAGACAGATAAGGGAGAGGAAAAATGAGAAATCCCCCCTGCGGGAATGGCCACACCACAATCCCTTCTCCTCAGTTCTCCTCTCGGGATTTTGGGCATGCACATATACACTCCCAGTGTGAATTTCAAGCCACTGAATCTAGGACTTGAACTGCAGTTGGCCATGTGGGAGTCCAGCACCTTAACCACCACACTACCTGTTGGTCTTACAGTGGATATTTTAATCCAAATTTATTGATGAGAAGATTTGGGCTCAGAGATTATGTACTTCCACAGATGTGAGGAAGTAAAAAATGACAGACTTTGGGTTGGCCCCATGCCCTAGTGGTTGAGGGAGTCAGAACTCACATGGCAGTTTGAATCCTGGCCCTGGCAGCTTGAAACCACAGAGGGTGTATATGCATGCTGTGTACAAATGCATGCCCCAGATCCAGACATGATGGCTAAGCGGAGCAGGGATTGTGGCATAACCATGCCCACTAGGGGTTGCTTTCTCCCTCTTCTCTTTGTCTCTCTCATGAGTATACACACTCTCTGGCAGGGAAAAAAACAAACAAAACAAAACAAAAAAAACATGCGATTTAAATCTGGTTAGTCTGTTATCAAAACTGGGATGCATTCTCTTGGACCAGCAGACCTGGCTGTGTGTGGGCAATCATACACAAGTTTTCCAGCCCTTGGTAACTCGAATGTAAACTCTCCTGTACTCTCTACTCCCAAACAAGTCTGGGCTTCCTCTCTCACGATCTAATCTCCACAGAATCTCTCGAAACCAAATTTCCCCTCCTGCCCTCCAGGGTTCACAATCCATGGGAAAAACAACCCTCAGGGGCAACAGCGCAGTCTCATCCTTGCACACACCAAGTTCCTGATGGCGTGGAGGAAGAACTTTGAGAATTCTCATAGTGTCTGGTGTTTCTAGATCATCACCTTTGCATAAAACCTGACCTGTGTGCACTTCCTGAAGGATATCCAGCCTACCAGCCTATCTCACTAATGACGGTCCACCCATTCTTTCTGTGGCCCTGGAGAATTCTGCCTGACAATTTTCCTCTCTTCAAGATTGCCACCTTCCTGGGGGAACTTCAAAATCTACAAGGATGACGAATTCAAAGGCCTGGTTTGGTTTTCTCTGTTATCACCAGCAATCTTGTCCACTAGCTAAATCCGCCCACTCCTGTGATCATATCCGCACCTCAGCCTGTCCTGGGTGTTGCTGTTCCCCTTTGGAATCTCAACTCTGATCACAGCCCCTCTTCTCAGTAACTGTTAATGTACAAACTCAACCCCCTCAGGATTCCCTGTCATGGCACCTCTTTTGGTTCACTGGCTGTCTCCTCTATTTGATTCCTTCTCAACTCTGGCCCTTCCACCCATCCCCCTGATGACAGTAATTCCTATTTTCCGTGCTGCATAGGCCCCATAAACTCAACCCTGACTGACTCCAATTGTTGCTGCCTCTCTGCCAATCATTGAGCTGCTTATAGAAAAATAAAACCAAATCTGAGAGGTGGTACAGTGGGGGTGCAACTGGACTCACATGGAAAGGTACTGGGTTCGTGTCCTGAGGCCTTCCTTTATATGCAGTATGCTCGTGTGTCCACTATCTGAGCTGCCTGAGACTTGGGTGGATCACAAGGTGTTGGGGGTGGATCACAAGGTGTTCGGGGTGCCTGTCTCCTCTCTAAGAAATAAACTTCAAGGAAACCGTATAGAAAGGTGGCACCATGAATTTGTAAGAGTAGCTAATAGCAACAGTTGAGTACTTACCACATGACTGATACATGGATTATTTATCTTCAGAACAACTCCATGGGGTGAATGCCAACATGATTCTCATCTTTATGGGGAAGAAACCAAATCTTTGAGAGGTCAAAATATGCCTAGAACCACATGGTGAGAGAATGTGACAGCCTAGATTCACACGCAGGTCGCCTGTGGGCCACAGTCCATGCTCTCAGCCCTTGAGCCTCACAATGTCATCAGTCTTCCCTGGGCTCTTGGCATCGTCCATAACCATCTGGCTGTGTTTGCCCAGTAGGCTCTAATTCCCCAGTGCAATTTTAAACCTTCTTCATTTCTCTCGACCCACTGACTTCCCTCCCTGTCCCCCTCGCTCTCAGCAGATGACTTTCCTCCTCATTACAGAAAAAAATCGAAGCCATCAGACCATTCCTCTTGTCCTTCTGCCACAACGCGTACAAATACCTACATCTGCCCCCTGAACTGCTGCCTCCCGCCTGTTACCATGTGACAGTTTCAAAGACAAAAAAACGCACAACTGTAAAATAATGGTCATGTTTTTTTCAAGGAGAGAATGAAACCATTTTATTTAGGGGAATGTTAAAACAAAGCCATATACAATTTGTAACAAATACAATACAATTGTTCCCTAGTCTTGAATAATTACAGTATGTACAAATTCTGTAAGGCACTGGTTCCCCAGAAGAACACAAATGAGTCTTCTTTTGAAACAGAGAGACAACAAAATCCCTATATATTGCCAGCTTTTCTCCAAAGTATATGGCGCTTTATTTTTTGTTTGTTTTGCTTTACAAGAGAAATCATAATGGCTGAACTAAATCACTTCCGATGCCACTTCTTTCATTTCTACTGTTACAGGACTGAGTTTTCTAAGGAGATACGACTGCTGAACATGTTTAAGCCTAAAACATTGGACTGCTTTCAGTTTCTTTCCACCTACCAACAAAGAAAACCCAGAACAGATCAACAACATAAAACTTCTGATGAATATGCATGACCCAGGAACATGAAAATCGGCCATTCCTAAGTGCCTGCTATACTTGACGATACAGCGACTGAAATGTGCCAAAGCATTCCCTATAAATAAAATCTCAGTGTGTTTTCTGAGCAGCTTTCTGTGTGGGGAAGAAAAATAATGGTCACTAGTGACTTCTGTGTGGTGCTTTCCAGGAGGCTGAAGGCCGAACCTCTCATATACAATGTCCATAGCACTTCACTTGAGATTTAACACTCTACACACTTCCATAAATAAATATTATGTTTCATCTAGTACTTTATCATCCATAATATTTTACTCTCTAACCCACATAATGGAGTTGTGCCAGACTCCACATTGAACATAATATTTATATATACACATTTATTTATATAATATATACACACATACATAAACTTTAAACCTGAACATCTTAGTATACAACACTTATCTAACAACTAATAATTTAGGATTCCTTGAGGGCAGGAAAGAAGTTAGAAGAAAATCTTAGTCTTTGAAACAGTCCTGAAAGTAAGCAACCAAGTACCTTGCTAAGATCCAGGCTTCTCACTTATCTGAGTACGAGACCAAAAATAAAATAAAATCTACTTCTGAGCTGCTAGAAGTTTTAAAAGCATAAAGGATTATTAGGAAGTATGTAGGTAGTCTTTAAGAATAATTTAGTATTACCTAAGAAAAAAGTATTTGGGGAAGATACAAAGAAAAATCTATTTGTAAAAAAAAAAAAAAAAAAAAAAAAAAAATGGTCTCCCTAAAAAACAGTAAAACCTAAGGG